TACACAATGCATGAAAGGCAATATTCGAAATGGCATATCTGGGGCACTTTAATTAATATTACATATTTAGATTATTCCATTTTATTTTAATTCATCAATTCCTACTGTCTACGTTACTCAACACTGTTAATTTATTTCCTCAGAAGCTGTGTTTTAAATGATTTACTGTACTTCCCTTTACACTGCATATCAATGTGTTTCTCATTTGGTGGTGCTGCTAGCTTTGGCATGTTTTTACATATACTAATTATGTTGAATACTTAGTTTACTTTGTTTACTTTCTCACAATTTCGTTATGCTTGAAATATGTTGGCAATATAAACGTACAGTTTTTGCCATGCTAATAAAGGATACTGAAATTGTGTGAGAGAGAGAGCAAGTTGTATACTGGTGTTTGAAGGTCTCAATCCTCTCCTCATCCTGCCTTTCTTTTTTGTACCTTTTCTTTTTTCTTTTTTTCAGTTTTTCTAAGGTCAATTCTCTTCTGTGAGGATGTCAGAAGGGTTTCCCTTTTGTGTGTGTGTGTGTGTGTGTGTGTGTGTGTGTGTGTAGAGAGAGAGAAATCCGGTGCTGCTGTGTAAGCAGTGTAATTCTCTGAGGGGGTGGAGGACCTGCGATCTTAACAATGCCGCAGTGAGTGTCAGTCTCCAGATGGTCACTCACTGTCCTCCCTGGTCCCCTTGCTGACCACACAGTAGGAGATGCCAGAATCCCTAGTTTTAATGTGCTTCTATGTTTGTTTTTTCTTTTCTTTTTTATTGATCAGTCAGTCTATTAAATTTATTTCTGTCTAATTTCTATTCCCTTTGCATAATTTTACTGTTCACTGTTTGCCTGTAACATAAAAAAGTGGGTGGATCGTGCCCTTCTCTTCTCATCTGTCAGAATCTCTTTGGATCTTCAGAGCAGGAGGAGAGAAAAGACTTGTTCATTTACACTAGGAAAGAGGAGGGGAGGGGAGGGAGAGGTGCTTTTCAAAGGAGAATGAAAGACAGACTAAGTGTGTGAGTGACATTTATTCTTCTTGTTTGCTTTGAACACATCCTATGGACAGCTGTTGGGGGTTTGTAAAGGACAGATGGGCCAAAAGTGATGGTAATTTACATTCATAAGGCCTTTATAATGCACACAGATGTGCCTTTGTTAGTCTTTATAACTATGTTCATAAACACAGTGTTTAGAATAATGTCACAGATCACATGGTTTTGAGGTGCTGTGTCCATTTGTAGGTCTTTGCGTTAATACTAGGTCTGGGTGATATAGCTAAATCTCTTTTTCTCCCTTTTGATGATATCGATATTTATGTTAACATGTACTAAGGTGTGTGTGTGTGTGTGTATCTATATCTATCTATCTATCTATCTACATATATACATATGTATGTATATATATATATATATATATATATATATATATATATACATACATATGTATATATGTAGATAGATAGATAGATAGATATAGATACACACACACACACACACCTTAGTACATGTATATATATAATTTCTTTTTTTATACTTTTATTCAGCAAGGACATTTTTGATCAAAAATGTCAGAAATTTCTATTAAATTCTATTTTAAAGTTCCTATTCATCAAAGATTCCTAAGAAAAATGTATTTTGCATTATGTAAATGGTTTCCACAAAAATGTTAAGCAGGACAACTGTTGAACATTGATAATAATAAGAAATTTTTTGTGAGTGGTACTGTACATATAATTCTCTCATAAAAAGCACATTCAAATCTGTGCAATATTCACAGTGTAACTTCATTTGACTTCAACATCAAAATCTACATGAATCTCCAGCAATATGTACATGAATGTATAATATTAAATATATCACCAAACCATAGTTTTGACTTTAAACTAGTTTAATTAAAAAAAAACTATTTTTTAAAGCTGTGAAACTGTTGTCATAGCAACATTGTGCTAGTTTTAGTGAAGTTTTCAACATGACACATTTAAGATTAATGTTTACATTTATGTTTATAATGTTTCCTTATTTTTCCTGCTGTATGATTTATTCTCTTTATCATTTTAATCCTTGTCACTCATTTATTGCTTTGTTTTCTCATAATGAAATGCACTGTGAAGCACTGACAGTGATGTGATGTCATCCGACAGGGGCGCTGCTATCTGTGTGAAATATGACATAATAAAAGAGTGACTGACTGACAGACGTGTGGAGAGGAAAAAAACAAATGATTGTGGGAGGCCCGATCCATGAGATAGACAAGTTCACTGTTCCGTTAACATGCACTGACAGAAAAATCTGTGTGCGGACCCCCGTGAGGCTCTTTTGCTGTCTAGATTTAACACCTGTAGGGCATCCGAACGTGTGAGAATGGGAAATCTCATGAATAAAGTCTGTTCAAATCTTTTTCTCTCGTCTCCTTTCTGCTGTTACTTTTACATTTTCATGTTATTGTCTAACCCTCCCCCATTTTTGCTCTGTGTATATACAGTAGAGTGTGAAAAAAGCACTTGCACATATTTTCTCTTGACATTTTCTCTCTCTCGTTCTCTCTTTCCAGACTATGGGCGATATATAGACTGTTGTAGCAGGTGTGTGAGTGGGCGAGGGGTTTCCCTGGGGAAGTCACAGGGGTAAGAAGGGGTCAGTTTTTAATGGGCCTGTCTGCCCTCTTCACCTCCAGAAGAAACCCGCCCTACCTCTCTCTTTCCTTATCTCTGCATCTCCATTGTCCGTCTTTTTCTTTCCCTGGGCTTCAGTGCTTGTTCTTTTGACCTGCCAGTCAGTTTGAGTGACATTATCAGATGATTACGTTTGGTGAGCTTCTGCATGTGCTGAAGAGTGAGAATTGTCCAGGGAGAGAAAGAAAGAGGTGTCTGTCTGGTGATATCTGGAAATATCAGTACGTCCTTAGTCAGACACCGTGCTTGACGCTGAACAGGTGTTGGTGTCAGTGAAACCTCTGGAGATGAGGGGGGCCTTTGAACTCTTTCTGAACGCACGCGGAAACGCTAATGTCTAGGTGGACAACACCATTCAGAAATTTAGCCTCAGGACGGAGACGTTTTTAGATTGGAAGAACAGGGGAATAGATGAAGAGGGAGAATGATTAGTGTTAGATGGAGTCTGTCATTTGTTGTTTCTCTCTTCTGTAATTTTGTTGAACTTGGCTCCTTTTTTCTGCTTCTCAGGGTTTTTTTGCCTCTGATTTTCAGGTGAGGTTAAAGGGACAGTTCACTCAGAAATGAAAATTGTTATCGTTAACTCACCGTGTGACTTCAATTTCTTCTGTGCAACACAAAATTATAAATTTGGAAGATTATATTCATACCTTTTTATTTTTTTGCAGTGAACAGTTGCTGAAAAAAGCTTTAAAAACTTGATCATTTCACTCAGATATGTATTACAATAATTAAAAGACTATCACAATTTCTGTTTCATGCCTATTGAGATTCAGCATCATATTAGTATTATTATTATGCTACTTGAAGACTTGAAATATAGTGCGTGAGTTGTATAGACTACATTTATGGTGTTTTTGCATCCTTTTTGAATTCTTCAGTCCCCATTAATTGTAATTGCAAGCAAAAAAAAAAAAACCTTGCCCTTTAAGTGGCAGTACTCATTACCAATTTGATACTGAACAAAAAGTAAGACTACCAGTTTTTTCTACAGGTATATTTAACCGTATAAGGCCCCTAAGTGCTGTCTGACTGACATACAGCTGCTGTCGAACACTCATGCATATGCATATGTCTTCAGGTAGTGCGGCTGCGCATGTGAACGCTTTAAATGCTATTTTTAGTTAATGCCTTTCCTGGCAAGCTGCACACAGTTGGTTATGTCCCAAGTAAATGAAAACAGATGGTACAAAAACAACAACATTTGAACATGAACACAAAGTTAGGCCTAATGGGAAAGACAGACTGAACTGCTGGTTTTATTACAGTTTTGCTTCTCTTTATTCAGCTACTCTTTTCTTGAATCCAGCTGCACCTGGTAGTCTCTCTCTGGTGTGGTTTTATTTTGCCTGTTGTAACTAATCTCTGCTATTCACGTTCTCACCACATCACACACATGTGACTCATGGCACAGTGTGTTTTAATGTGCGGTATTGGAGGGACTCAGTGTGTGTGTGTGTTGGTTTAAATGTGTTTTGTCTCTGCGTGTTCAGATGTAATCAATGAGAGGAGGTCAGGTTTCTTGGCTCACGGGATCTACTGGCATTGAGCGCCCCCCGTTCAGAAGCAAGAAAAACAGAATTTCCCTCTCTTTCTGTGCTTTTCCCCCTCTAACCCCTTCCCCAATACAACACACACGAGAGAGAGCGAGAGAGGGATGCTCTATAAAGCTAACTTCTGAAGCGTTGCCAACAATCTCCAGGCAGAAAGAAAAGAGTAAAGTTGGGGGAAGGGAGGAACTGGACCTAGAAAAGAGGAAAAAGACGGAAGGCAGAGGGAGAATAATCCTGGAAGTTGCTACTGTAGAGCCACTGTTATAATGATCCCAGCAGCCCCAGTGGACTTTCCAGTAAGATTTGCTACAGGGCAGAAACCACAGAGAGACACACATGTATTTGAGTTTATTTTGCCATGTGATTTTACTGAAGGACATTTTATGTGAAGGTTTTAAGGTTAGACTGCAGTGGGATTTTCTGTATATATCCACTAACCTAATTGAACAACTAGCTCAGAGAAATGGTTTTTGAATGGCAGCATAAATATAAATGCTGAAGCTTTCATTACACATAATCAGCATGTGTTTCTCCTTAGGAAAGTGAAACTTTGAATACACTTTAATTATGTGGAGAAAACACAAGGCGAGACACTTTTTCTTTTGCCAAAGCAGTGAATGAGATTTTATGCTTTTTTATTTAGTGATTTTAAAAATAAATTATAATATGATCATATGATAATTAAACAGGGAAGTATCTGTGCACAAATTTATTCAGTCTTGTAATGTTCTTATATCTACAAATAAAATCTTAAATATTTAGGAACAGTGTTTGTTTTTCTCCATCAGATGTGGAGGCAGAAAACGGTGAGTTAGACCTGAGCGGTATCGACGAGGATGAGATCGATCGGGTGAGTTTTGACCTCATTATGGTAACGACATGATAATTTGCTTTGAAAGCAAATTGAGAGTTACATAAGCTCATGTTTGAAGTCTTGTCCATTGAGAGAATCAGCATCATTGTGGTTCTATAAAGTTGAAATCTGGGATGAGATTCATATCCAAAAATGAATAATGGGATTGCATTAGAATAGAGTGGAATGAGATATGTTGCAATTTACTCTCTTCAGCTTGTCCACCATGACGTGAGGGATTATATATTGTGTTTCTCTTTTTTTTCTCTTAGTATATCCTTAATGAGAAGGAAGTTAAGGTGAAGACTGAACTGTGGATGCTTCAAAATGCAGACTACCTCAAAGAACAGAAAGGTGGAAGAGATTGAAATGTCCCATTTCTTCATTTAACCCTCGACAGGTTCATTTAAATCAAGTTTGGAACACTTTTGTTAAAGCTAAGTGTTTTTTTTCCTTCAGAAAAGGAGGAAAGAATAGCAAAGGAAAAGGAGGAGGGTACATATAAAGAGCGGAAGGTAACAAGGCACTTCATAAATGCAGGTGCAGTTGTCAGAGTCACAAATGTGTACGTGTTTACTTTCTTATTTTTGTGTCATCTTAAAGCCTAAAAAGAAGGCACGGAGGCGTGAGCCCATCAATGCCAGCACTGCAGACGAAGCCATTGAAAAGATGTTGGAGCAGAAACGCATCTCCACTAAAATAAACTACGATGTTCTGAAAGACTTGAACAAATCCAGCCCAAAAAGTCCCACTCAACAGACTGAAGAAGCTTCCACCGGAGCCAAAAGAACCCCTGTGGCCCGCCAACGGAAACCCCAACTGACTTCACCCATGATTGGCAAAACTATCAGCAGCTTTGGCAAGAGGTATGGAACTGTATGAGAAAGGTTTCTTCTGTCTTGATTTATTTCTGTTTTTCTCTCACTCCCTGCTTTTTTGGATTTTTTTCCCCCCACACACCTTTAATTACACATTCTGTTCTAAAAAATCCTTTATACTACATAACTTGCCATCTGTCCTAGAAAAATCTCACCATCACAGTCTAACCCCACATCCTGTCCAAGAATGATGTGAAAAAATCTCTTCCATATAAAAGTTTTTTTATCCTAACCAGCCGCAACTGCAGTGAGTTACTAGACATTTTGTTGTTTGATTTGGTTTCTATTACTTTTTTGTGTCAACCCGGGTTGCCTCTCCCACAGAAAATCTTATTGGTCCAAAAACACACTCTGCATAGCTGTAAATTAAACATCAAATATCTTCTGATTGGCTGTGATAGTGTTGCATTACGTAACCTTATGAGACAGACAGATTACATAGTATGGGGAAATTTTGTGTTCACAAAAAGTGGTTTATTTTAATACAAAATAAAAAAACGTTGTGAATGTTTGTTCTCTCTTCTAGTAATTCTGTGTCTTAGAGTGTTGATGTGGACAGTCTAAAAACAGATCCACTCCTATTGATACGCCCTGATTTTTATTTGTTTGCCCACACCCATTTTTGGGCTCTTTCCTGTACCAACTCAGCTCTTTTTCTTCTCTATGCTAACTATAGACCTATGGATACACAATGGCAGGGTGCAAGACTGTAACTGTACTTATTCTATCTTTATATCTTTTCAAATGAAAACTATTTTTTGTTTTACCATTTTACAATGTTTAAACAAGGTGCATCTGCAATACAGAGTCTGTCTTCATTTCATAAATCATTGAAATAATAGTTTTGTTAAAGAAAGATTCAAGGTTTACTTCAGCTTAGCAACAGCAAGCAGTCTAATAAAATTAGCCTATTATGCTGTAATGCTTTCTGCTTTGACGTTTTCCATGCTGCGTTAGTCACACATGTCATTCAGATCACGTTTTTGTGGTTATACTGGTTATGGTCTTGTTGATGCTGGTTTCTGCTGCTAATATAGCATCTTACGAATAATATCATGGTATTACCATGGTTTTTGGTCCTCAAAAATATAATTTTGCTTATGAGATTTATAATGTGGCCCTCCGTTGAAGTACCTTGGAGTACCATGATAAAACTGTGGTGTATGAACAGTTGAATTATTCAGGACCACAGTGCATATCCAAGTACCATGGTATTATCATCTGATTCCACACTTCACAACACTTTCTGTAGCAGCACAGTCATGAAGATGTACTGAGTTCCTCATCAAAACTGTAAATTCCCATATGCGTGATGTTTTTTTGTTTTTTTTTATTAGATCTGTTTTCTTGGAAAAGCTAATTAGGATCTCACTCATGACCCTCAGATGGAAAATCCCTTGAGCTTTGTGGGTCGGGCTGCAAGTGTGAAAGGTTCTTATGTTTGTTTCTCTCTCTTTTTTTATGTCCTTTACCCTTTTGTGCCCTTGAGTACAGGGCAGGTCTCTTAAGAATAGCCCAATCTGGGCTAAATTAACCGTGGGTGTGTGTGAGAGAGAGAGAAAGTCCCATGCATATGGTCAGTCAGAATAACCCCGTTCTGCTCTATATTTGGTCTCTAAATGCTGGTATGGAACACATTAAAGGTTAGAGCACATATTTAAAGTGAGGCCCCACTGCGGCCCACTCCTTGGTACCCTCCTTTTTGGAAAATATGTGCGTGTTGTACTACTGTGTACTCATTTCCATTCATGCTATTAGTCTTTGGCTGAAGGCTCTTCTAGGTTGTCATTAGTCATGGATATATATTCTCTCTTTAAGGAGAGGCTCTTGGTGGCCCTGCACAGAAAATGTGCTCCACCTTCAGTTTGTCTCTGACACACCAAGGCCAATATCATGGAACAATGAGCACCTCTCTCTCTTTTTTTCTCTGTCTCTCTCTTTGAGTGGCCAGTTTTATCTGTGTGTAGTGTTTTCTTGTTGAATGAATTCTTGAAGTGAACAGGATAGATCTGTTGAATCATTCATTCTGAAAGTAGGTTTTATGTTTTTTTCTGAATGAAAGGTGAGCAAACGTCCTTTTAAAAGCCATTACACTGTTACCATGCCAAGCTCACTCTCTCTTTCCCAGTTTTTCTCTTTTTCTCACTCATAACAGCCTATAGTCTGTTTACTGAATTGAGTCTACCTGAACGAGAGTGTCTGTATTATTCAGTGACTTGTTTTACCCATCCTCTTTTACATTTTTTTTATTAATTCTTTTATAGACTCATTCTTCGGGTGGGCAATATAGCTAAAAAATAAAAGGCTAAACAAAAAATAAATTGAAAATAGTTTTTAGGTATTGAACAATATTTAACATATAAAAGATATATTGAATATTGTTTCGAAAAATTCTGAAAAAAATTACAAATTTAATATATAAAAGATATATTGAATGTTGTTATGAAAAACATCTGGAAATAATGTGTGTATATATTTAATCATTTTTTTAAATTTTATACAACAATGTATCAATACATAAATAGTATACAAATTTACATATGGATTTAAAAACATTTAATACATTTCAGAGGCTTTCATGAACATTTTTGACAAACTAATCATTAAACTAGAGTTCACTGAATTGGAAAGTTTTAATATTTACAGAACTATATTAAAGACACTATGATTAGTAAACATAATGGCCAAATAAGCATATTTTAATGTGATATTCACAATGTTGCTTATTGTATTGCCAACAAAGTCATTGAAAATATATTGCACAACCATAACTCAACTGTTTTTTTTTTTCAGGTTCTCTTAAGAGGTTCCCAGTCCTATTTCAGCTGAACCTGAATTTATCACAGAAACTCAAAATTAGTGCATATCAGTGTGTGTGTGTGTGCATGATGTTCTGCTGACAGTAAAGCCATTGTGTTCCATTCAGTCCACACTCTGTGACACACTGAGGTATTGTGTACTGTACTGTTATACACAAACACACACACATAGACATGCACTCTCCCTTTTCGGTCTCTCTTCTGTATTTTTACAGCATATTCCTGACATCTCGCAATTACCTGAACATCAACCCATCTGCTGGTCTGTTCGTCCCTCCGTGCTTCTGAACCTTAAATTGAATAAGTGTCTCACATTCTCTCACTCTGTCATCCAGCAATAGCCTGTATAATTACCCCCTGCTGTTTTAACCCTCTCTCCCTCGCACTCCTCCCACATTTTCTGGTCATTTTCTTGTCCTCTCAAATACCCACAGCTCAGCATTTATCCGGAACCATAGAGACTACAAAGAGTGCGAGTGTTTGTGTAAGACAGTGTTAATTTTTTGCTGAAATTAACAGGTTTTGAATAGAGTTTGCGGTAAGGCTTTGTAAGAACCTGAGATGGATTGCGCTTATTTCTGCAGTCCCCCGCTCCTTTGTTCTTTCAACACTTCCTCTGTATCCATACATGAGACCATCTCATGTTAGACATTCACACCTGGAGTGCCAGAAATCGCCATCTCACACCATCACACATCTGGTAATTAAACAGACTCCCCCTCTCGCTCTTTCAGACAGATGTTATAGACACTCTTCCCATTTTTTTCCTTTCTTTATCTTGCTTCTGTCTCACTTCCTCTGAGGATCTTTCTGCTGTCGGCTCGAAGTTTCTTACTTAATCAGCTTACTTGCAGAAAACCTGCATCTCTAGAGAGAGAGAGACGGAGAGGGAGAGGTAAGCTGTCTGCTGTCTGCAAGATCAAAGAAAGTTGGGTTTTTCTCAAGGCTGAATTGACCCAAAAATTAGAGGAAGTTTTCGTCATCCTTGAGGAAAAGAGAGACCCTTATCTTTGCCTGGAACCAAGGCATGCTTCTGAAATGAAGACACCTACTTCTTAGGCGGTGTTTGCTCATGCTTTCATGCACTCAGCGGAAATAGTGTCAGCCTGGTGTCATACACCTTCAGCTCAATAAAATAAATGGCCCTGTTGACATCAGCCATTTAGTCATACACTGAGGTCAGCGTGACGCAGAAGGTCAAAGTAAATGCTGAACGATTTATAATGTTCTGTGAGAAAGCAATGGAGTCATCACAACCACAAACCAAAGACTCTTGAATGAGGTCATGCGCACATCATTACTAATGGTGAGAGGAAAGAAATAGATATCAAATAGATATTTGATATTATTTCGTCTCATAGTATTTTAGTGATATTCTCAAAACTTTTTGATTTTGACAAAAGAAAATTGGAACTATTGAAGGAACACTGAATGTTTTGTTCAAACTAATTCCTAAAGTTGAGTATAATGCTGAAAAGCACCAAGGGTTAATTCAGATGAAAGAAAATCGAGTAGTGGATCACAATATGTCACAGTTTTGAATAACTGCCACAAAGAATTACAATATTATTGTATTGTGACCCAGATATCAATATACTGCATCAGCAGGTCCCTGATTCCCACCCCTAATCATTATTGTTGTGCTCTGTGTTTGAATAATTGACCCACTCAGTGGTGTGAACAGTTTATCAGCCCTTGACGCACATGTGAATCTGTGTGTGTGTGTAGACTGTTTCTCAGGAATAGAATGTTGTCGCTGTGTTTTGGCTCTGGCTGCTTGTTTTCATGCCAAGTACTGCACCGCTCCCCATCCCAGAATGCACTGTAGCATCAATAGGACACTCGTATGCTGGGTTGTGAAGGACTGTCAACCATGCATGCCTGTCTTACTGACTGAGAAGCTGAAGGAGTCTGTCTGTCAGTCTATCTATCGATCTATCGTTCTACCTATCATTCTATCCATCTTTTCATCCTACTTTCTATTGTTTCATCCTTTCATTGTATCCATCTTTTATCATTCTACCTTTTGTTATATCCATCCTTCTCATTCTATCCTATCATTTCATCCATCTTTTTAATTTATTTTTCTATTGTTCTATCGTTTTTCTATCATTGTCATCTTTCTACCCTTCTTTCTATTATTCTGCCCTTCTTTCTATCATTCTATCCTTCTTTCTTTCCTTATTCCTACTCTATCCATTTTTATCCTTTCTAACATTCTATCCATCTTTCTTTTCTTATTTCCTTCTTTCTGTCTTTTTCACTAAATCCTTTCTATTCTATCCATTTTTCTATCCTTCTCTTAGTCTTTCTATTCTTCTTTCTGTAGTTATATCCATCGTTCTATCCTTCTTTCTGTTCCATCTTTCTATTGTTGTTTCATTATATCCATCTATCTATCTATCTATCTATAGAGAGATGTTTGAGTTGAGTTTAATATGTGCGTTTGAGTAGATTCGGGACGGCTTGTGGTTATATAAAGAGAACTGCTCCCATGAGAGCTGAATCTCTTCTGCATATTCAGATGTATTATCAAGAGAATCATATGATTCTGATTAGCATTTATTTATGCTGCGGGTTTGGTGCATCATATCCATACCTCATTAACATATTTTACATTCGTTGGAATAATGAGTAAACTCATTATTTAAACTGTGCCACAGCATGTTGACTTGCAAATACTGAGATGTTAACTGTGTTTCTGGATTCTTCTGTGCTTGTCCTGCCCCCTCTTTCTCTGTCTGTCTCTCGATCTCCCCCTCCTGTTGTCACTCGAGCTGCCATGTTTATTCCACTGGGAATTTTACAGTGAGAGATTTGAAGTAGACTGTAATTCAAGACGGGACTTGTCCATGTCTACCACCACCTATGAAAATGTGCTAGATTCAAAAATGTTGTTGTTATTCATGCATTTTGGTTTTGAAAAATACAGTGAATACATTTTTACTAAATATACAGAGTGACATTTCATTGTGAAGCAGGGGGTGTTTAGAGTCTCTGTGGGTCCGTAAACTCATGCTTTTCTGGGTTGACAGAATTTAAATTACGTACATTTAGGGAATTAATTTAAATAATGTGTCAAGATTTGCATTATAATAAGTTAGTGATTTAAGCAGTGTAGTGAATTGAAAAGAACAGAGCTGAGGTATACTGAGTTTATAGGACCGGATAGTACGTAAGTTTTGACCTTGTGTTTCTGTCAAATTTTGATTAAGATTCAGATAAAAAAAAAAATCCCCGAGCAGCTTTTGAAAAATAAGCCATGTTCTCTTAATGATCTTGTCTATATGTCTTTTTCACTGTTTCTCTCTTTCTGTCTTGCTGTCTCCAAGGTTACAGCCCCTGGTGTGTGCGCAGCCCTCTAAGAAGCTGGCCCTCGATCAGGTGAGTGAATTTAAATCACCGTCCTTCCTACAAGCACATCCTTGGCAGGCCTCTGGATATATTAAACCACTTTTCCTTAACCCTCAAATGGCCCTCTGGCCCAGAGCTTCACTTAGTTTATCTCTGGTGCAGGAAAACTGCATTAAGTTGACCTAGAAACGGGTCTTTCCTTTTCATGTCTAAATTAAGAGAATTATTTTGATCCACCGAGCTGCTTCTAGATCAGCAGTCTAACTCAAAGGCACCAGTTTGAGTTAGCATATCGTAAGCTAATGTACCGCCTCGGACTTCAGCGGAAAGTGGGCCGCTGACACCTGGACTCTGAGGAGGCCTTGATGACACATGCTCTTTTCTCTCGAGTCCTACTGATCCCTGGCTGGTGTTCTGGCCCGTAGACCACTGGAGCTCTTCAGTGGCTCTGCCACTCCCTCCGGCTGTGTCTTCCATGATGCTTCATCTTTCTGTATGTCAGAGTCCTTGATCTTTTCTCCTCTGTCTTGTTTTTCTCTGTTATTAAGTCAATCTGTCTGTCTTATCTTGGTCTCTGGTCTTCCTTCTACTGCTTTTAAACTTCTGTGTGTGTGTGTGTGTGTGTGTGTGTGTGTGTGTGTGTGTGAATATATAATCAATGCTCTTTTGAACCCAGAGCAAAAATACTACCTCTAGGGGTCAATACTCGGGTAACTAGGCAACCTCTGGCCATCACTTGGCAATGGGAAATGAAGCTTTGCGATTGATGGTATTCCCTTTGTCCCTCAGGAAAATAAACAGTTCACTAACAAGCCTATCTGTTGCTAACTCTGAAGCTGACTTGTGATGATAAGTGTTATCCTCATTTGTAGCAGCATGATATTAGGAGCACACAGTCAGAGTTAGTAAAGGGTGTTTTCTGAGTTGAAGTCACCAAATCCAAATGGACTCTTGACTAGTAATACATGTCTTTTATCTTATTGTGAGCAATTAATTGATGCTTGTTTTCTAAAGAGGAAACATATTCGTAATTGTTTTAAAGGGGTGGTTGACTGCTTTTTTTCTTGGCTTGATTGTGTTTATGGGGTGCAGTGTAACATGTCTTCATGTTTCATTAAAAAAAACAAACAAAAAAAACACCTTATTTTTCATATCTTTTACCTTTATTGTAAGCCGCTGTCTCCATTGTCATTTGAACGGCCGGTTGACTTCCTGTTTCTATGATACCTCTCCCTCAGAAATACGCAATGGGCTCAGATTGGTTAGCTGGCCCAGTGTGTTGTGATTCGTTAACCGCTTACTGTACGTTGTCCGGAAACTTCACGCCCATTACTTATTACGGGCAATAGTTGCATGTGCTCCGGTGGAATGTAGGATTGTAATTGTCAGGAACAGAATTAAAAATAAATTTTAACCATTGTTCACGAAGTACAGCGTCCGTAGGAAGGCCGAACACAGAAGACCTGTTAGCGGGGTGAAAATAACAGTTTCGACGGCATGTCTACAACTCTTCCTCTTCTCTAAAGCCGCGCAACATGGCCCCGTCACCTTTGTTGCATGTTCCCGGGGGTGGGGTTTATGTAAATTTCTGGGTTTGTGACGTAACGAACCCGGGAAGTAGCTCGTTGTAGTCCCTACGAGCCATTTTTGTAGGCATTAAACTGCCAGAATTTTAAAAGACATATATATCTCCGTTTGCATTAACTTTCAGTGCCGTAACTTTGCAGATATTGTTTATGCTCAAACAGCAACATTACACACTAACTAACATTAAAAAAGTGGAAACGCTTTGGATGATGGACACAAAATGAGCTGGGAATGTCATTTCATGTTGACTTTCTTATTCCTTCTCTACCTTCAGAAAGGGTTTGGTGCCCCAGTGGCCACTCCTGCTGCTCCAACCCAGAATGCTGTTGTCATGGAGAGTGGACCTGTGGCGTACGAAGACCCTGTAAATGAAGAAGAGGAGGATGAGGAGGACGAACACTGTGTCAGTGCCATGCAGTTAATGGGCAGCACTGGTATGTGATAAAATAAAGACTGTCCTTCACCTTTGGATCAATTCTTAACTTTTCATAAAGACGTATTCCTTTTAGACCAGTGGTATTTCATTATTATTTATACACTAGTATAGTATTTTAATATTTTCAATTGGCAATTAAAATTTTTCAATTTTAATTATTTTTATAGTGTCAAGTTTTCATTTTAATTTTAATGTTAGTAATTTTATATGCTGTTGTCATTTTTGTTCATTTACTTAAAATGTTTCTGTTTAGCTTTATTCTAATTTCAATTTTAATAATTTTAGTATTTAAGCTTATTTTATATCAGTTCGTTGCCAACACAATATTTCTAATTTTCATTTAATTTCAAGGTTTTTTTTAGTTAAAAGTTATCTAATATTTATATTTGTGACCCTGGACCACAAAAGCAGTCTTAAGTCGTTGGGGTATATTTGTAGCAATAGCCAAAAATACATTGTATTGGTCAAAATTATAGATTTTTCTTTTATGCCAAAAATCATTAGTATATTAAGTAAAGATCATGTTCCATGAAGATATTTTGTAAATTTCCTACTGTAAATATATAAAAACATTTTTGATTAGTAATATGCATTGCTAAGAACTTAATTTGGACAATTTTAAAGGTGATTTTCTCAGTATTTTCTTTTTTTTTTGCACTCTCAGATTCCAGATTTTCATACATCAATGGAAAGCTTATTTATTCAGCTTTCAGATGATATATAAACCTCAATTTCAAAAAATTGACCCTTATGACTGGTTTTGTGGTCCAGGGTCACATTTTATTTCAGCTTTATTCTAATTAACAAAAATAGTTTTAGTTTTAATTAATGACAACAACATTGCTTTAGGGGCTTTCAACCTTTTCTGACCCAATATATATAGTCTCTCAGTATAAAATGTTTTTTTTTATTTTCTCCATTACACTTTGTATTAATGTTGTTTTTCATTAAGAACATTATCTTTACTATTTTATGTGCTTAACAGGTCATTAGCAAATGTTAATTCAAAAATGTTACATTATGAATATTTAAGAACCTATTTATATATAATTCTCACAGACTTCTGGTTGAAAACTTTGGCTCCTTTTGACAGAAACATCTTCATTTTATGCTCTTTGTGTTTACGTAGGTTGTGTTTTGAGTTTATGTAGTTTAGAACGGAGCATTAAGTTTTGTTCTAACCTTTCTGCATTCCTCTCCTTTCCTGTGTACAGATTACGGCTATGAAGTAGATGATGATGAAGGTTTCTGAATCCAGAGTGCCTGTGCACCAGTGGAGAGGACACACTAACACTTACCCTGCTGCTTATTCTGACCCCAAAACACACATGCAACCTCCATTTAGTCTAGTGTTCATGCTTATGTTTGCAAGATGAGACCAAATATAGTGAATTTTACACACTACAGAGGATGGAGAACAACAACTAAACACGAACAAAGATCCCATATTCTGGCTTTTCCATAGGTGCGTGATCTGAGCTCATATGCACTAAGTCACTTAAACACCATTTAAACTCACAGCACACAAACAGGAGTATGAGAGAATATGGATGTGTGTGCAGTGATTGAGAGTGATGATTCTCTCTCTGGAGTGTGTAAGCCTGCTAGCTAACTGCATTACTGTGTGTTTTAGGCTAATGATGACATATGATCTTGCACATCTAAAGCGATTAGCCCACACAAGGCTCAGGCCTCTGTGTGGACAAATGTGTGCATGTACACGTGCCTTTAAATATTGCAGTATACAGGCCAGGAATAGTATTATGATGATTTTCAGAGCCATAAGTGTTATTCTTTAAATCAGATGTAGCTTTGTGTTTAGTATTCAGTTAGTAACATCTGATTAGTAACAGTGTTAAATTTTGTTCCACTGCTTGGCTGGTTTTCTAGTGCCTTTTTTATTATTATTATTATTATTAAATTATCTAAGTTTTTTTTTTTTTTTCAGTATAATGTTTAATGGGTTGGTACCCTGATTAGAATATAATTATTTTTGATTTGATGGTGGCTGTTTGTCTGATTTATTATGGAGACTTGGAAGTCAATCCAAATGAGAATACTTGAAAAATGTAATTTATTCCAGATAAATGCTGTTAAAATGTAATTGGCGTGACCTTATTATCACTGTTAAATATTTTGAACATTTACAAAATGCAATATATATATATAATTTTTTTGTTTGTTTTTCAAAGAAAAATGTTTGCAGTGTTGGATTGTTTTGAAATGGACTGATGTCAGAGAAATAATAGATTGATAGTTTAGTATTGGTCTGTTAATGAGGAAGAAAACAGTGTTTTAATTGTATTACTTATATCTGAATTCTCAGTATGGTTAGTGCTCTTTGAGAACATTTTACTTTATTTATAGTTTGTTCTCTCCCAGACCAAAAGGTACGAGTACATTTTTTCCCCCTTCTGATAGAAAAGTATTTGAAGGGTTTCTTCTATCAATCATGCCACGATACACACAACAGACATTACTGATGCAAAACCAAACCATTCCCAATCTGATAAAGGTGCCAATCTTAATAATTAAAAGTACAGGTTACAGGGTAACCATCTTAAAATGTTAGAAAATATATATAAAAAATACTAACTTTATCTGGGATTATTTAGCTCAGGTTGGATGGCAACCTCGAGCCGTTCTGATTAAAATATTGACCAAACTTCTGTATTGGCATCAACAATTGATAAATACTTGTTGATGTCTTGGTGAATTATTGCATGTATAATAAAAATCTTTAGTATGCAATCATCAGGATTTAAAAAATGGACAGATTTACAGTTTTATCTTGGGTCTTAAAGTTTAATCAGATCTTGCTCTGTAGACCATTAGAGCCAGTGTCATTTGGAGTCAGTTGGTTTGGTCTTGAAACAGTAATAGCGACAATAAAACACTAATAAAACAGTATTTATGGGCAAAGAAATAAAGAGCAATCATTATGCATTACGCCTTCTGTCTTTATTTTTAAGTGTGATCACTGTATATTTGTATTCTTTTTGTCTGCTGGTTATAATCTTGAGTCCTTCGACACTATGATCTAAGACAGGCTATCTTCACTGCCAGTGGCTAAAGCTTTCTGGGAAATAAGGCAATGAAAAAGTTGAGCATCTGTTTTTAGGTTCATGTGCTCAAGGCTGTTATGTTTTGGTTGGCATAGAAACATGAGCAGTAGTAATTGTAAGATCCCACTGGATGAGACCCTGGAAGTGACCTCACTCTCATCTCTGCAGGGCAAAGGCTGCTGGGAGTTGAAGTTCTTAAGGTCATCTGTATTTACTGGATATGGGGGGGGGTATTTGCTAGCCTTCAAGGCTAGTAAATGCTCTGAGAGGAAGGGAACTCTGTAACAACAACAACAACTTTTTTTGTCACATAATTCTCTTTTGTTTTACATGTTGGATACAGAGACTACACAGTTTCTCTATATTTAAATATTTGGCCTCTGATCCTAATGGTATATTATGGTTCTGCCTTCAAGGCTAGTAAATGTATCAGTCTTTGCTTTCATCTTTCCCCAAATTGTAAGTCGCTTTGGATAAAAGCGTCTGCAAAATGACTAAATGTAAATGTAAATGTAAATGCTCTGAGAGGAAGGGAACTCTGTAACAACAACAAAACTTTTTTGTTACATATTCTCTTTCGTTTTACATGTTGGATACAGAGACTACACAGTTTCTCTATATTTAAATATTCGGCCTCTGATCCTAATGGTATATGATGGCTCTGCATCCTTTGGGAGGAAATCTGTCTGAAGCTTTGATAAATATCCACACAGACCCTGAGTGAAATGAACACGGTCAACTCACCTCTTCACACTTCTGTCTTTCTCATTAGCTCTTTTTCACTGCTCTGGAACCTATTACTCTGACCTTTCACTATCACACATGAGAAAGCAGCACTGATCAGAGATCAGGCCTGATGGGAGAGATTGTGGGTTAATCTGTTGAAGCATGTGGGAGAGATGCTGAGAGAGAGGGAATATTGATTGGTTTTGCTAATGAGAGGATTTTTGCCAGGCTGTTTAGGAATGTATCTAATAGTGCATATCCATGTTCTACACTACTACACACTCGAGTCAGATATGAGTTCCAACTGGAAAAGGTGGAAAGGGCAAACCAATCTGTAACTCACCTTTCCTCCCAAAACAGTAAATTGTAGAGCTCAATCTGAAAAGCATCAAAAGTGTGTTTTTATTTATTCCCCATTAGCAGTGTTGGGAGTAACGCGTTACAAATGTAATGCATTACAGTAACGGATTACTGTTCGCTGTAACGCAATAGTGTTAAGGTATTACTAATCAATTTTCAGTAATATTTTACTCGGTACATGTTCAAAAAAAAAACAGCAAGACTGCGAGACATTAACGAATCAAAAATGCCGCAAATAAGTTATATTTCCTGTTCGTGGTCAGTCAATAGCCGCGTGTGGTGTCCAAGTTTGTAAATAAAGACTAAACGACAGCTTCTGATATATGTGTTTAGCGATTTATTTCATTCATCTCCCTCTCGCTGGTGGAACTTTGTATTGTGTGACGTAGTCCAGTGAAGGCGTGTTTAGGGCGGGTTTTACAGGAGTGCTGCGAGGCTACTGGCCCGACAGTGGAAACGCGGCATGATTTCGGCCTCTGTGCTGCGGTCCGAGGCTATTAGCCCCGCCCGGCTCGCTGTAAGCCCCGGCTCGCACTGGCCAGTGGAAAAGCGGCTAATGGAAGATGGCAGAATACTGTACATTCGCCAGATGCATGTATGCGCATCTTGTCATGGCATTAGAGTTTACATATACTCCTGTTGTGTCTAATATGAATAGACTAAGCTATTCACAGATATTGCCAGATAATCACTTTACCTGTACCATACTTTTAACAGACTCGGATCGTTTGTGATTCTGGCTGTCATCCTTTCTTGCATTGTCTTGAGCCTTCTCTTTGCCAATTATAAGGTATATTGTTGTTAGTAGCCTGGATAGCCCACAGTCATTATGATACACCATATCGCCCTCTACTGGATGTAAAATGCTCTGCAGTACATTTTGTCATTTTAGAATGTTAAGTTCTACTTCTGTCGTTATTTTGGTGAAAGTAACTCAAAAGTAATACAGGAGTCATGTAACGCATTACAATTCTGAGACAGTCATTTTGTAAGTTAAGGAATTACTTTTAAATAACAGTAACAAGTAATCTATAATGTATTACTATTATTAATGGGTTTGGATCATCTCTTCTCAGTTGTTCTGGATCCAGACTGAAGCTTGTGTCAATCCCGTGGCAAAAACAGAGAAACAAATAGAGACATAATTACCGTAGCTCTGGCCATTCACCCATCAGATGAAACCACAAACAGTCATCACATACACCAGTTTGGAAAGAAGGTAACGTCTTGACAATGTCATTGGCCGACTACAGTCCATGATGTCACTACCAGTGTGACTGTAAGTATAAAAGGGCGCCTGTAGTACACGGCATCAACTTTGTCTGAAGGAAAAGTAAACAGGCAGGCCAAAGGCATGGCAACGAGACACAGTGTCTTGTTCCGCTTCACAGGGAACCAGGGCTACATTTGTAACTGAGGCATTCTCTTTGAATGGGAACTTGCACCAAGCTCATACTGGGGAGCAGAGGGGCCTACTTAAAGAGCCCAATAGTGGGATGGTAATATCTACACTCAACTCAGAGGATCTGCTATTCAAGGAGAGCCAACGAGAGCTAGCTACGCCACTTGGAAACTGCAGTCAAGTGCCAAAGTGTCAAGACTCCAGCACTCCCGAAGGTGCCCGACAACAAGAAGGGTCTGCAAACTGGGGCGAAATGCCACTTCTTGTCAGGTCCTCAGAAACCGACCTGAGCCCACAGGGGGCAGAGGACCCTTATAGAAAGATATACCAGTAGTAGGGAACTCCCTGTTTAACCCTGAAGTCCAGGAATCACACTGAGCTAACTTCAAGACCCCAAAGTGGGGGACGGTACTAATCTACACTAACCCCCCACTACAAATTATTTTCTTGCAGTGGCAGCTCTAGTTTTCAACAGTAAGAAATAGTGTATAAACAAAATGTTATTTATTTATTTTACATCTAAAATTATTCTAATAGCAGATCAGAATAACAAGTCACATAAACACACAATACATGATAAAAAATGTCCATATTATTATTTTTATTATTTGCTATAGTACAATGACACTGGCCTTTTTTTGTTCTTTTATAATGTCATGTGAGGGAGGTCACTCACAAGGGGATCATTACATTTGATTGATCACTGATTTGGATGAGTAAAGGATGTTGCATGCGGCAAAATGAAAGGAATACTAAAACTGTTTGTTTATGTACAGCTACACCTGCTGGTCAAATGGAGGAATAGATTCCCCCTCCCTCGGTCTCTCTCATCATTTCTACAGTACTATCAAATCGATCCTATATAAAACTCGTGTATATATAACTCGATAATATAACTCGTCTTTTGTGAGGTTCTCTTTTTGTCCCAAAAAAGCCTGGTTTAGAAATCTACATAAATTATAATCTTTTCATATTCAAATAAGGCCCAGTGGTCGTTAAACCCATGAGGGGTTAATGATGAGAGAAAGCTTAAGGCCAGTCCAATTAAACTGCACAAGAGTCCCTGCAGAAGAGCTCTGTGTAAAGGAGAGCAATTAAAGTCTAATTAGGAAGAATTTTCTTAATTAATTCCATAAGGGCACATGTGTGTGAGACCTCCCAAATGATGGTTACTGTTATAAAAACACAGACTATAGAAAACACACATAGGATCTTCATATCCCTCAGCCAGTTCTCAGAAAAGGGGTCACCATCAAAGAGAAACTGGAAAATAGACACATAATGAAATATTTCTGCTCAAAGATCATTAGAATTAACCACTTGTACTTTATAACAG